ATTCACGTGGGGATGCTTCTCCAGCTTGGGTGGGGTTTTTTTTTTGGGGGGAGGGAGGAAAATGAGCTGTGTGGGGACGTTTTCAAACTCTCGGAGGGAAAGTCGCCCGCGGGGGCGCGGCCCACGGTGGTGAAACCTCCTCCCGGGGGAATTTCTGAGGCGGAAGAGGGGAACTCCTGAAACAGGGTCCTTTTTTTTGGGTGCCTTCTCCCAAATTCTGTCTTATTTTGCTTTGGTACATTTTCCTTGCATGCCCTTTAATTTCATTTTAGGATATTACTATTCTATCCCATTTCAGCCATTTTTTTTCTCCTGGGGTTTTTAAGTTGGTTTTAATTTTAAGTTGGTTTTAATTTTATTCCCTGTACTATTTAACTTAATTTGTTTCGCTTTTATTCTGCTCCCTTCTGTTCTACGTAGCTAATTTTCTTTCATTTAATTTATCTTTGGGTCTCATTGGCTTTATTTTATTGTTTCCTCCCTTCCTTTCCCTTCTTTCCTTTTCATTTGATAGAAATCCATACCACTTGCTTCTCGTTTAATCCGTTATTCGATTTCTAGGACTTTAGGTGTTTTTAGGCCGCTCCTTCTTATTTCTTTTCATCGTATTCAGTATAAATTAACCTAATTCCATGTTATTTCCTTCCTTTTCCTCCTCTGCTGCCCCTTTTTGGTCCCGTTTCTTAGGAGAGGACCCAGGTGTCCAGGAGAGGATCCAGGTGTCCCGGAGAGCACCCAGATAATCCAGGAGACCATCCAGGTGTCCAGGAGAGGGCCCAGATGACCAGGAGACCACTCAGGCATATGAGAAAGGATCCAGGCACTCCTGAGAGGACACCGGTGCCCACGAGGGGACTTGGGTGTTCAGGAGAAGACCCAGGTGTCCAGGAGAGGACCCAGGTGTCCAGGAGGGGACCCAGGTGTCCAGGAGAGGACCCAGATGTCCAGGAGGGGACGTAGGTGCCCAGGAGGGGACTTGCTGTTCAGGAGAAGACCCAGGCATCTGGGAGGGGACCCAGCGTCCAGGAGAGGACTCAGGCACTCATGAGAGGACCAAGGTGCCAAGGAGATGACCCAGATGTCCAAGGAGGAAACCCACACCTCTGGGAGAGGACCCACACCTCCAGGAGAGGACCCAGATGTCCAGGAGACCACCCAGGCATATGAGAAAGGATCCAGGCGTTCCTGAGAGGACACCGGTGCCCAGGAGGGGACTTGGGTGTTTGGGGAGGACCCAGGTGTCCAGGAGAGGACCCAGATGTCCAGGAGGGGACCCAGATGTCCAGGAGAGGATGTAGGTGCCCAGGAGGGCACTCGGGTGTCCGGAAGACCCAGGCATCTGGGAGGGGACCCGGGTGTCCAGGAGAGGACCCAGGCACTCATGAGAGGACCGAGGTGCCAAGGAGATGACCCAGATGTCCAGGGGGGGAAACCCAGACCTCCAGGAGAGGACCCAGGCATCCAGGAGGGGACCCAGACCTCCAGGAGGGGACCCACACCTCCTGGAGGGGACCCAGACCTCCAGGAGAGGACCCAGACCTCCAGGAGGGGACCCAGGCATCCAGAAGAGGCCACGGGTACTGGGTACCTTCTGGGGAGCTGGTGGCCCCCCATCCCGAGGTGACACAGGTCGTGCCAGGCTCTGGGAGGCAGGAGGCCACGGGGATGGGCTGGATCCTGCTGGTGAGGATGACGGGCGCCAGGAGCTTTATCATCATGATGTCGTTGTCCTTGGTGGTGGGGTTGTAGTCGGGGTGCGCCACCAACTTCTGCACCATCGCCCGCGCCTCGCCCCACTCCCGCGTGTAGAGGTTGTGCTTGCCCAGGCGGATGGTGGTGATCCTACGGCAGGCAGGAGGGACGCGTGGGACACGCAGCGAGGTGGCTAGGACCACAAGACCATGGCCCACATGTGGGGCTTGGAGGCCACGGTGTGGTGACAGCACTTGCGGGGCATGGCGTGGCTGGGACGTGTGGGACACAGGTGGCCTGGCCCATGTACGGGCCATAGAGACTGTGACGTGGCCATGTGGGATGTGGCATGGCCAGGACACGTGTGGGACACGGCGCGGCCCGTGAACGGGACATGGGGACCATGGTGCAGCCATGGCATGTGGTGGGACACAGCATGTCCAGGACACGTGTGGGACATGGAGAGCATAGTCCACGTATGGGATACAGAGGCTGTGAGGTGGCCACAGCACTTGTAGGACACGCGTGGGACATGGGCTCTGCAGCGTGGCTAGGACATGCGTGGGACACGGCGTGGCCCACGTATGGGATGTGGGGACCGTGCCGCATGCGTGACACACGTG